TTACATTTCATGTTACAAAATATTTTATGTATATTTTCCTAAGCGCGAGGCCTTTCATGGATGAAGGCCTCCAAACAACTACTCGTTTTACTTGCAGGTATATCCGGCCCTGGCTGCGTGGAAAAACCCATTCGGAGACGCGGAAAGTAAATTTTACATTTTTCCCTCTCGTCGCCTTTCCGATTCCAAACCACTGTGGAAGTCCACTACGCTCTGAGCTGATACGCCGACTTCGCTTTCGCCTTGTAACACTCGATTGGAACAACTCGTTGACCTGGTAGCCATTTTTCTTCGACAGCGACATCGCTTCTTCGGCCACAATGCAGTCAGGTTACACATAGAATGACGGCGATTCTGTTACTTGTTATCTAATAATGTTCCGTACGTCGGAAATTTGCTTTCAAAATGCGTCCGTACATTTACAATTTGGATGTCACCAAAGTTACTGAATTTTGGTAATTAATGGATAAGCAGACGTTCTTAAAATATAACATTTGTTACATCAATTTCTCCTGCTATCTAACACACAATATTATAAGTTATATTGAATAGATGCTAGTCCTTCGTTATAGTAAAGGAGTTTACGATTATATTCCTATTAAACGCTTAAATATGGTCCAACAAACGCATCGACTACATCAGTTCAAGAGTAGAGTCAAAATTAACTTATTACAACATTAAATGTACGAAACTGATGTGTCGAAGGGCTCTAACTCCCTTTGTGCAAACGTTTTTAACTCGGCCTCTTCCCTATCAAAGTACACAATTACGTAAGTGCTGTGAACATATTTATTTAATGGCGACATATTTTATTCTACAACTATACTGGCAGAAAAAAAACTGGAGTAACGAGAGTTGCCAAATCTTAAGATATAATTTACACCGACAGACCAGCCTGAACAAAGCAAAACTGAAGCAAAGGGGATACTTGCGTTTGAAAGCGGGATAGTTGCTAATCAGCTCAGCATGTCTTCAATTTTCACTAGGACAGTTCTTTCTTGGCACGCTCACTTCAGTGCGTCGCTAGTGCCCACCAGAGTACCGACCTCGCACGGTTTGGACTGGACGGTTTGTGAGGGTTAGTTCAGGCTGCAAAGAGAACTCACTGCCTGCTTGATTCATTTGTGCCTCCCGGGTGAGCGGACATTTTAAAAATCCATAGTGGGTACTGGATTATCGTACTTATTAGATGTATAAGTGGTCTTTGGAGGCAGTTGATAAGACTCAGGACACGGAAATGTACGTTCGTAGTCGCACTATGCGCACTATGTCAGTACTATAAATTGTATTGTCAGTATTGTAAACCAAAGAACCCCCAAGGACTGTAAGTACCCCAAAGACTTTAAGTCGAGGAACGTACATAATCCAACTAATAAAAGCCATTCATAGGTGATATGAAAAGTACAGGTGGCATAGACCGTCCACATACGGGTGGCAGAGACAAGAACAAAATAAAAATTAAAAAAAAGTAAAATGAAGTGAAAGGCGAACGAGACTTTAAAATCGGGTGAATAGACAGATCGCAAACAGGAGCTCTAGAAAAAAAAACATAACGAAAGTTATAATATATGTAAGAATATTCTGGAATCAGGAGAATGAAGTCAAACTGGAATAAGAAAAAACTGGAAGAAGGAACATCTGTAGCGGGAGTAAGGCGCGGGAGGACCACGTAGGAGCATCCAAGAAAAAGTAAATCGCGCAAAGAAATCAAAGTAAGGCCCTTTCAGATCTGAAAAAAAGAAGAGAAAAAGAGAAGAAAAATATTGAAACAGTTAAAGACTAAACAATTTAAATAGTTTGTTTTGTTGTTGTCAAAGTCGATCATTAAGTTATATAAAAAATACTATTTAAATAAAATATTATGTAATATTTTCTATGAAAAAATGACTGGTTATTGCAGAAATATTTGATGTAATCCGATACAAAATTTGACAGGAGAATCTTCAGGAATTTGCCGTTCGTATGAACGGCAAGTCGACGCACAAAATTAAACAAATGTCAATAAGCAACAAAATTAAATTAATATCAGAAAGACTTTAAAACTTATCTCATTGGCGTACACAACGAATGGCAACAAACTTAAATTAATATCAGAAGAATTTTAAAACCTGATCTCATTGATTTGCCCAACGTGGGGCAACAAAATTAAGTTAATACTCATCTGGATAACTTAAAAAAAATTTCAGTATTTAAAGGACTCCATAATAATAAATTAATAGTAAACAAGTTCAAAACTATTTCAAGGAATTTTCTATTTCAAATACTCATTCTACTCTCCATTGATATGAACGACGTTCCAGTGGCATATGTTAAGGAAACATTTTTGAGCCTCTCAATTCAGTGAAACCCCAAATGGAAATTAATTGAACACAAAATGAATTTCATTATGCCTGGCTTTCAGAATTCTTTCCAATTCAGTCAGCTTTCATGTTGCCCGGTGTGTATATTTGGCATATGTCCATCCCGCCTGAAATGCAAAATATTCTGCGTTACACATCATGTAACTCCCAGACTTTTAGATTACGGAAAATAATTGAACGAATAAGAAGAAAATCATAATTGTGTGATTCTTTTCTCTCATTTCGCAATTTCTATTAAAGTAGAAATTGTACCATTGTCTTTCCTTACCTCTTGATTTACATAGCTGTTGTTTTTAAAGAAAATGGCTTTCTAAATGTGGGAACAAATTTTCACTGAATACAAATGTCTATAACTCCAAAACGCAACGTAATAAACACATTCATCAGGTGTCAGTATCAGCAGCTCACCACAACAAAATCACATACAATATATATATTCTTTATTTTACAACTTACAGATTATTTTCCAACTCTCAATTAAAGTCGATTAACAAGTTAAAGCGCCGAGTAAAGTCTTTCTGCTGCACAATTGTTTTTCTACAATTAGAAACTCTACTGGACATCAAGAAAGAAAATAATATTGATTTTAACAATACCTAATTTATTAGTTACCATTTAGATTGCATTATTCTACAAGAATAAATCCTGTAACAAGTATTGTACCTCTGCTTCTGGGTCAATGACCCCCAACCCGATCAGTTTTTTCGTCCATTTTCCATGATCCTTTGAGCGAATGCTGTGATTGTCTTGTTTTCCTTCTGGACATGTAGCTTCACTCTCTGAGTTGCTCATTTGGGATTGTATATATTCAAATAATCGTATTCAATTCAATCCTAGCAGTAAGTTGTTTCCTTGACATAAGTGAAGCACCAGAGGTAATAACCTATAAACGTAGCTGATTTTTCTCTGCAAATAACACAGGCTCACAAAAACAAATTGTCAACTCCAAAAACTTGACACATGTTTCTCTATGTATTTCGACGCGCTGAATCCGAATCAGAAGTTGCGCTGAATCACGAATCAGAACTGCGCTACCACCCTCCAGTGCTTGTATCGAAAAAATATAACTGAAATTATTAATCTACAATTTCACGGTGATTTTCAATTTAAAAAGAATAACAGGGATGACGCCATTCTGGCTTTAGATTCGGATTTAGCGTGTTGACATACATAGAGAATAATGTGTCAGTCTTTGGGCCTGACAATTTTTGTGTGAGAATGTGTAAGTTTTGTTACACAGGAGTAAGTATTTACGTATCAATTCTTGTCAGAAACTCTTGTTGCTACCTATATTCAAAATTCAACTTTGTATGCTAGCCATAAAGAGCAAATATGATGTAATTCAAATTTTGAGATTTCAGTTAAATGCAATAGTAGGTGGTTTTGACATGGTTACATCATTGTATAAATGGTATGATTCAAATATAAATATTTCTTTACTAGGACCAGCAGAATGCCGAAGAAGATAACAATTTGCTCATACCACTGCGTGCAATTGTGTAAGTCACGGGTGGGACGTAACAATAGCTTCGAGGGGTTCCAGGAAATAGCTTGTTTATCTGTACCCACACAGAAGAAGCGTCTCAGGAAAAAAACATTTCATCGCTTTTAATGATACATGCACACATCAAAATTGCTCTCACTTGGATGAAAATCGTGAAAAAAAGGCATATCATTTTAACACTATTGACCACAAATTTCTTGAATCGGGGCACTCATTTATGAAAAATGACCACGATTTTGGGAACTGAACGAACTGGATAGCCAAGAATTTATGGTATCGAGCCGCAGAAGCTTACGTGTGCATCTGGCCAACATAATGTCCATTATGTTGTTGTCCTATTATGTCCCCTCTGACTGTTACACCACCATCCGTTTAGCTCGAAAAAATAACAGTGCGTGAAATGCCCACGCAATTTTCAAGTCTTCTTTGCAGCTTATAAAAACAAATTTTGAGAAAGATTAATAATGCAGAAGCCATAGTAAATTGTCTGGGGATATAGTGGATGCGGTTCCTTTGAGAAGGACCTAACTGTAGCCTGTAACTGTAGCAAAAGACACACGACTGAACTTCTGCCGTACATACCTCCAGTGCATCACAATTTCTTCATCTCGCTACAAACTTTCCTAGTTGAAGATATGGGACTATTAGAACACGTTCAAGATGATGCTGCCTCAACCAACGTGTCAACAAAGTGAGCCCTTGTGATTTACCCTTCACCAAAATGCTTATTTTCAGTGACTGAATGTAAAACTTGTAATAACAGTAAACAATTATTCTTTGCTGTATTAACTAATAATAATTTACAGTTTATAAAATATCAAACCATAGTGTACAATACATTGCGTTCGTTGTTCTTTTGATTTGCATTAATTTAACTCTATTTGCATATTTTTTCACCAAATCGCAAGACGAAAACTATGCATGCCAATCATTTGAATGTAAATCATAATTTTCAGAAACGATGTGTAAAATAGTGATGCAAGTCAACAAAGTAGTTCATTAACTAATAAGCAATATGTCAGTCCAGAATATCTGTCAGAATATCTGTAGTAAGTTAAAACACAGCACGCCCGTAGGATACTAGCGGGCTATTCTCCTTAACACATTCATAGCAAATTAGGTTATTTATTTCTGTGCATTACAGTTTTACAGCGTTTTTTTGTTTACACGCCAGTTTCCAGAAAGTAGTTTTTTTTTACTTACATTACTTTTGCTCTCAACGACTCATGTATACGAGTTCGGAGAAACATGCCAGAGCTGAAGAAACTATGCACATAAGCACTTTCCTTAGTACGTCACACAGTGTTAAACATTTTGAGGTTAAATGAATAACTAAATTAATTAATTACATAATTATTTATTTTCTAAAACACAGGTAACAATAATGACCAAAAATTAAGTTTTTTGTATTTTTCATGATTAACGAGCATAACAATTAAAATTTATAATGTTAAAAATATTTTCAATAACTCTTAACTTACAAACTATATGGCAAAACAGTAAACAAAGGGTCTATGAAGTTAATTAAGTATTTATCAGCTCTTGATCAAGGAAACACGTGCTTTTGATAAATAATATATTTGTGATCTCGTACATGGTTTGTTGTTAGTTTTTCAGTAATCACGACCTAATGTTATTTGCCTTTTGTTTTCTTCACTTTCTTCTTACACATAACGAATTATTGAACAACAGAAAATTGAATTATGTTGGCTTAAAAATATATCCTTCAAGATTTCAAGCAGTAAGAAATGAACACTTCACATAATGGACGTCTTTGAGCCAGTGTTGCTGCGGTTCTCATGGTGAACAACGCGTGGACCCGCTGACGCTAAATGACAGAGTAACGGCGTCTCCAATATTATTTTAATTAACTAAAATGTAAATAACTAAACAGTAAGACATCAACTTGAAAACCACTCTTCTTTCTTCTAAATAAATAACTAAATAGTAAGACATCAAACTTGAAAACCACTCTTGTTTCTTCTAAATAAAGTTCTGAGATTCCCACTTCGAAGACTGAGTACTCGGTAATTATTTAAAACTACAACAATGTATGAATTTGATTGGGTAGTATCATAAGAGTAGCTTACAAAGCGCCATCCTAAAACCGTCCTTTATTGTTAATCGGCGTCGTGGAATTGGCGGCTTTGTTGACAAATATGTCTGATGCTAACTGAGAACTGATCAACGACCAGTTTCCCGTAAGATAACATATTAATGACATACGTTAAAACTAAATTCTCTTGAGCACGAAGTATCTTTTCGATCTTGACTATGTGTATCTCTATCACCGTCACCATCGTCACCAGATAGAACAGTTTGCACGACCGGATTTTAAAGCTTGATAATTAACTCCCTATCACATGTACAAGACTACACAGAATTACAAATAATTAAAATTCCAACACGTGACCAGAACGTCAATTCGCACTGACGAATGCTGTGTACTTGCTGCTTCCATTAAATTATTTGCAAAATTAAAATATATTACTTAATTACTCTGATCATTAAATAAGCTCTAGTAAATTTTATCATACTTCTCTCGTGACACTCTTAGAGTTAGTCCGCTGTGGAGTTTTTAAATTTCATGTCTATTATTCGTTTATTTTATCCTTACATTCTTCTTTCATTTTAAACATTCGTAGAACATCCTTTATATTGACATATCTAAAACTCTACAACCGTTAATTAATGATTGTGTCCTTTGTACATATTGGAATTGTTGTCTGGAATTAAATAAAGGGGAGCTTGAAAGCCTGGCTGACCGGAAAGGTTGGACCCAGTCGGAAAACCAAGTTGTGGCGGAAGACCGCATTGAAGTGGAGGGCCGGGTTGTGGTAGGAGGAGGCCGAACTCAAGCGGAGGTCCAATCTGGGGCGGAAGGCTGAGTTGAGTCGGAAGGCCCAGTTGAGCCGGAACGACGAGCTGTGCTGAAAGGCCGAACTGAGCTGGAACGCCCAGAGGACCTGGTAGGCAGAGAGAAGTTGGAAGGCCGGGTTGAGGTGGAACGCCCAGAGGAGCTGGATGGCACAGAGGAGCTGGAAGACACAGAGGAGCTGGAAGGTACAGAGGAGCTGGAAGGCACAGAGGAGTTGGAAGGCCGAGATGAGCAGGAATGTTGTACAGCTCGAGTAGCCCGGACTGAGCGTGCAAGCCGTGTTGAGCGTGAAGTCCCTGCTGAGCCTGGCTAAGCGGAGTGCGTTGAGCCTGCAAATACACACAATCTACTGTTAAATTCATAATCTTTAGAAGTTTCCTCTATTTATCGTTTAAAATAAACATTTTATACATGTTAAATGTTAGACAGATCTCAACTCCTTATCATTAAACGCACTCATCTTTATATATTGGAGTTTTCCAGCATATACCAAAAAACATCCTTCGTCTCTTCTGATGTTGTCAGCTAAACATTGTATTCTGCATCGAAACTACTCAATCAACAACAATTTTAGGTGTTTCAGATGAATGGCTCATGGTATGCGTTTCATAAAGGCAAAAGTACTGTGTTGAAAATAATGGTTTATTGAATAAAATAAAAACGAGGTATAGAGAGTTTCAAAACTATTTAAAACGGTGTTATGGTGTGGTCGTGTATTTCATACGTTACATGCATTTTTTTACTTTTTTAAGAATAATCTTGAAGTTAAAAATGCGTGAATTTTTACTCTCTCGCCCCCTACGAACGTAAGAAAAAGTACTGTAATCATGCGGGGGGGGGGGACGAATTTTCGACAGCAAAACTCGTATATCAAAGGGATAAAATATAGTTTCGTCGCTGTTAATAGGGTTTTCCCTTTCCTCGATCGCAATTACAGTCTTATTTTCGAAATGATATCGTGTGATCAGTAAGACATTTTCTCCATTTTCTCAAGATTGCATATTATACTCTTTTGTCAGCTAATAGAATTTTAATTCACAGGGTGTCTGGTCTTGTCGGTAATGACAGTTATCTCCCCTCAGGCTAGAGCAGACGCTCTAAACTCCGACTAAGACGCTCTAAACTCCGACTAAGACGCTCTAAACTCCGACTAAGACG